TTTCTTAGGTGGTGCGAAATGGATTTCGTCCGTGTAGCAAAGGTTTGGCTCATGTGTCCCACGGGAGAAATCAACAGGTTGACCCTTGGGAACCTTCGAAAGATCGACCAAAAAAGAACAACAAAAGCAGTAGGTGATTTTATCTTTGGGATCGTTTCTTTTCTGGCATCCCGGTTTAATGCCAGTTTGAGGCTTCCGCAGCATAACAAAGGATCCTGCCTTGGGAAGTTGGTCTGGTGGAAAGGTCGGCTTGGGACAACTGAGTTGGTTGGCCACGATGTCAGCTCTCTTTTGCTTGTTGTTGTGCGTTGATTCGTGTGTGCATTCGTTTGCTGGCTCGTTCTTTCGCTTGCTTCTCGGCGAGTCGCTTGTCTGTTGGCTTGCTTGCTCAGTCGTTTGTTTGTTCGTTTGGTTCCTTCGCTCGCTCACTCACTTGTGGTTGTGCCCGTTCTCTATGTCGCATGAGTGTTCTTGGTTGCCTGGAGGAACACCTCTCAACAAGCCACACGACCTATCACAGAGAATCCCTGTACAGGACCATCATCAACGAGCCCAAGCTCATTTGAGTCCCAGGTCTCCCAACCAGAACCGTTCATTCAACACACAACGAGCAACACGCAACATGCACTAAGGCAATTGATTTGCACTGTTGCTATACTAAAACTCGAAAAAGCTGAATTAAGTGATCCCCAAGAAAGGACCCGTATCATGGTGAGCTCGTTCTACCCCTGAATCAGTGAGCTCGCAAAAAAATAGGCAGAAGTGTCACCCCTCCAGCGCAGAAAGCCCCGGGCCCCATGGAACATCCGGAGCAATCAATCGAATCGATGCCTTAGGGTAATGTGCAATACATTAAACCCGACGGGTTTGGTCGCTCCGCAAAATTACACCATGTGTCACCTTGCAGGCAAAACTGTTTCTCCAAAAGCTGGAAATCACATGAAGGGGACCCCCAAACACCCCCGCCCCCACACCTCCCACGAAGCTGGGCTGTCCGTTCTCTAATCCCTGATGCAAGTGACTAACTTTCAGTGAGTTAAATGGAAACCCAACCACCCAACCAACAAAAAGGCTAAGAAGGCTAAGGAACCGGATGCCTGGGAACTTCGAACTTCCCCGCCAAGTAAGAAAAATCGACCATTTTGGCAGCTGTTGGGGGTAAGGAAAACCTCCAGGAGAGGTGAAAAGGCGCCAAACTTTTGAGGCCTGGACCCGCAAGCAAAGGCTTCCCGAGGCTGCCATGATGCATCTCTACTCTTGGTATGGATTTTTGCGAGAAGAAAAAAAACATGAGCCAAGAACAGCGAAGAAATTATGTCACTAGGGGTGGATGACCTACAAATATGGCTGTGGTGGTCAAAACCCCACCCCTGGTGAACATGAAAATAGGTGGCAAATGGATGTTCATCCACCCCAAAATGGCTCGCCATAGGTTCTGCCCCATGGCCATATTGCAAATAGGGCGCAAAGGAAGAACCCCTCTGTAAGTTTCCGTGGTTTGTGCTTGGTTTACTTGCAATATGGGCACCAATATTTTGGCATCCACCGTACGTAGATCACTAGATTATTCCTGTACGGAGTGTAGACACCAACTAATTCCCCCTGGTTCCAAATCAAACTAGTGAATCTCCCTTCCTTAGTGGACTGTTCAAAATAAGTAACCACATCTTCTGCTTGCCACTGCCATGGTCCAAACCCAAAAAGTGACTAACGTTCCTTCCCGCCCTGCTGGCATCCAAACGTTGTTTGAAGAACTCCTCAACACGTAACCCTCTAAGCCACCCAGTGCGTGATCCAAACAGTTTCAGCTCCACAAGCTGAAGAGTGAAGAAAATGGGCGCAGCAGAAATCCATTCCCGGTGTCCAGAACCCCAAGCGAGAAAGCGCTAAGCGGCCAAGGCCGTCAGCCACGCCAAGATGTCGGATCTGAAGATTCCAAATCCCAGAGTCCAACTCTCCGGCTCCGAGCAAGACCGGAAAGCCTGCCCGCGGGCGAATGTCGGGCGCGGGCTGAAGCTGGATGGGCGATTTTTTTTTGTTACGCACCACCCAGGAAACCAGGGGAAACCACCGTTTCTCGGTATACACAGGGGAATCAAGCTCATTTGCCCAAAGGACGCAACTGACCTTAAACATAAGACGAAAAATGGTTGCCCAATCAGGTTTCCCCATATTCTGGTGGACAGACGCAAATCAGGAAAACTAACGGGTCATTTCGATCGGGTCGATTCGCCATGGCCGAGTGAGAAGGTGCCGGATATAATTTCTGGGACTGTCTGTGAAAAGGTTCTCAAGCCTTCTCCGATTCCGTCCCTCACCGGAGCACTAGAATAGCACTAGCGCATCGCTTTACAACCTAAAATTAACCCTAAACCCCACCTCAACCAACCAACCCTCAACCAACCGTAAACCAACCCAAAGCTAGCCCACCCTCACATGAGAGGAGCACTAACCACCCTAAAACCTAAACAGGAGGCTCGTGTAGCATTGATGGTGTTCTGGGATCCATGTTAATCCGTCGGAGTGTAGAAATGTATGGTGTTTCATTAGAATCAGAGATGCCAGGTCCGAAACCGAATGTGGCACCAACAAACTGCAGCATCCGGCACAAATACATGGTGGCATGTTGTTTGAGGGTGTTCTCTGACTTATTTGTTTAAAAGGGGGGGAGGGTTTACGGAGACAAATGGAAGCAAGCCATGAAAAAGACAAACCCACAACTTGTTTCCATAATCTCCCAAGCCTGGCTTTCCGACATCATTTTTGGCTTGAAGACATGGGTCGGAAGCCATGGGTCGGAAAAGACGTCTGGCAGGTCGCCAGGTTGTAGACACTCCCTCCAACAAAAAGATCAGACAAGGAGATCCGGGATTTCCAAGATTTCCGTCGCTTGCAACACAGGACAATACTCGCTTCCGATCGAGTGGATGGTCCAAAACAAGTAACCAACTTTTTGTCTAAGCAAAACAAGTAGCCAAACGTTGGTCTAAGCCACCGAGATGGTCTTCCCAAAAAGTGATTGAAGGAGCTGGGGAAGGGAGAATATGAAAGCCAATTCCGCAGATTCAAGCCACGGCCAAAAGCTTTTGCAACATGGAACTCGTCAGAAGGTTTTCTGGGGAGAGCTGTTTTCCAGGGACGTCGGGAGGGATGCTCAAACAACGGAGAGCCTTTGAGTGTGGCTTCAAAACTGGTTTCAGCCCGTGGTTCGGAGCCCGGTGGTTCGGATTGGAACCCCTGGTGCTTTTTGGGGGTCAACGATTGAAAACACAAAGCTCCAGAACGCCAGTCAGAGTAGGTCTAGGGAAAAAAACGTGGAAACCAGTTGCTTCCTTAAACGGTCAACTGGGGCAAGAACGTGCTTGTTTCTTTAATCCTTGTCTTTCGAAAGGAAAGATGGCCGCAAAGACGGGCAAGGAAAATTGTGCCCTTTGGTAACCAACCCCAAGCAGTGTCTCAACAAAAATACGCGCCACCTGTTTCCGGGGGATCCAACTGGTCTGGGGGGATCCGATTCCTTGTCCATTCTTTTCAACCATCGTTCCTTCCAAAAACCAGCTCCGTTTTCCCGCTCGGGTTTCAAAGGAGGTTTGTCTAGAAAGATCCGGTTCAGAATGGAATTGCAAGGTACCCTCGGAACCGGATGTTCCGCCCGCCTGGCCAAAGAACAACCATGTTTCAACAGCAACACATGTGTCTTTTTGCCGATTTTTGGTCCGGGGGATCCAACGGGATCTTACACCCGCCCGCCTGGCCCAGCTTGCTCCAAAGCCACTTCACATCCGCGCGGAGCAGCTCCACGCCCTCCGGCGAGGCATTCGCCGAGGCCGCCGCCGACAGCAACGACGCTGCGGCGCCCTCACGAGCGCCCTCACCGTCGCCTGGCCGGCTGCCCGGCCGAGAAGCAGGCCGCGGAGGCCGCGGAAGGGATGTCACATGGCTATGGGTCAAAATTTAACCAGAGACCACAGGTCTCAGTACTTATTTCCATTTTCAGGGTTTTCAAGATAGGTATTTGGGGTACCCATTTTTGGCCCACACCCACATGGCTGTGGGGACTAAACCGTGGTTGTTACCCTCTTACAGAATAAAAGGTCCACCTTTTGGGTATCCATGACTAAAACTGGAAGCTGACGTTCGGGGGGTCCTGATTTAGACCGGGTTCCTTTTCAAGGGAGACAATTCCCTGTCAGGTTCCGGCTGTTCATTGGTGGGAGGTTACTTCATAAAAGAAGCCGCGCTTCCTTTCAGGTTGCCCAAGCCAAGACCAAAAAGAGTGCCAACGACAAAAATAAACACTTCCCACGTATACCTCCCTGTTTGGATGGTTAAGACGCTCTTTGGAACCCAAAGCGAGCTGTTTCCATAGAAACAAATCCACTCACCCTCGACTATAGCCCGCTCCCGCCCGCTTGCCCCTTAAGCGCGCTTGCGCCTTCAGACAGCAGGTCTTCCTCGGAGAACTCGGCCAGCGTCAGATCCTCTTTGACGCTGATCCTGGGCTCGGCCCGTTTCAGGGCCCCACACATACCGACCAAAAAACCTGTGGGGAGAGGAGCAATCATCTCTACTCTTGGTATGGATTTGCAAAAAACTGACTGCTTTTTGTAGACCCCCAGTAAAAAATGAACAGAACCGAAAAACTAAAAAACTAACAAACATGCCAAGAACAGGGAAGCAATAATGTCTTGTCTGTGAGAACCTGTTTCCTGAGTGAACACCTAAAACGTCGCCACACCCATGAGCAAGTAACAACATTCAAGGGCATCCCCATACTTAGGGGAGGCTCTTAGGGAGGTTAAGCTTCCTGCCACCACGCCCTCACTTCCAGTTGGTTTCCCATTTGCCCTCAACCAGGGGTTCAAATTAGGGGGTACCTGATCTTCCATTAGTGAAACCGATTCCCTCCAAAAACCAAAAGAATGGAAAATAAAAGGTCTTCCTTTCAGCAAATCGAAGCTCACTTCCGATCGAATGGATGGGCCAAAAAGAGGGAACCACACTTTTTTGTTCCACTAGCATGGTCTTCCCAAAAAGTGATTAAAGTCCAGTAGCGCAGGAAGTGAGCCCCTTTTGACTCACTTGCCCAAAGCACATGGAAATAAATGCTGATCATCTTTTGGAATCTGACAAAATACGGTTGCCACATTAGGGAAACCAAAAGGTTGCACTTGTCGATTCGCTTTGGGCAGCTTTTGCTGAAACCTAAGGTTGCAAAAGGTGACCATCCTGTATGTTTGGTTCTTTTTTGGGGCAAGGGAGACTTTGGGCAAGCGAGAACTTCTTACGATCCTTCTTGTAAGATGATGGCCAATTGGATTTCCAATTGGTCAAGGGTTCTGGATTCAATCCCGCACGAAGTAATTCAGGAAGGACGGGAGTGCATAGAGAGGCCCTCCCCCCACAGGGTTTTCCTTTGCCGGGTATGAGGCAAATTATATATGGGGCGGAGAGCCCCGGAAAAACTTTGTTCCCTCCACATCTGGCTTCTCTAAGGGCTGGAAGTGGGGACGAGCAAAACTCTAGGCTGGAATTAGGATCCCAGCAAAAAAAACATGCTTTTGCCTGGTTAGTGGAAAACAAAGGGACCCCTAAAATAAGCAAAAAAGGAAAAAGTGGAGCTGGGGAAGAACTGGGGTAGTGATAGTTTGGATCAAAAATCCAACACTAGTATGAAAGTAAGGTCGAAGAAAGCCCACATGTCTCACGCGCAAGTAGCACCTATTCATAGTTTTCTAGCACATCAACTCTAGAACACGGTTTGGATACACCTTTTGATAATTTCACCAGTTCTTCCCCCCTGTTGGTCCTTTTTCGAGTAATATTTTAATAATATTTTGAGATATCCAGGGGTGGACTCACAGATTCGCTACACCCAAACTGTTTTCTAGAGTAACAGCGGCTTCGAACTTCAGCTCGAACGTAGAAGCTCGTGGGTATGGGAAAATCAAAGCACCAGGGGACCACAGGTGTGTGTCCTTGTTTCCATTTACCAGCTGGATGGACAAAATCCATTTCGCACCACCTAAGAAACCCTGGAATCACGATTTCCTTGTAAAAAAAACAAAAACGTTCGGGTTTCCCATGGTTTCAAAGTGGTGCGAAATGGATTTCGTCCATCCACAGTATAACCCAAAGTAGAACCCAAAGTAGAGGCACTGCTGAATCATTACTTGCGCGCTCCCTCTTATGTTGCGGGGCATTTCCAGGTGTGGGTTGTGGATGCAGAGGAAACCACAGCCAGGCTGGCACGGCATTTTTGACCCACACCCACGTCCCAGGCTCCCGCCAACCACTTGGACACTGCTCTGGAAGAGGACTTGGCCTTTGGACTCCTCCGGCTGCGCCTGGGATCGGTCGAATTCGCGACGTCTTTCGAGAGGCTGGCTTTACTTGAAAACGCCTGGTTATAAGCCCGGAAAAAAAACCCTCTTGGGAGACTTATAACCATGGTACATGGGGTATCACCATGGATATTACCCACTTACTAAGTACCCTGCCCTTTCAAGTAGGCATGGGTCCTGGCTTGGATTCAACCAGGAAGTGCTTTGGTCGACACCCAAAGACTAAGCCGTTTACCCCGTCCGCAAAACAGCCGGAACCTGTCTGTGAGTCCTGGCTGCTGGCTTGGACCAAGGAACACCGTGGGTTCCATGGCAACGATTGGCCACGTGAGCAGAGGGTACTTAGTGGTGCAAATCATTGGGCTGTCAAGGAATTTATGGAGGATACTTAGTGGAGGGCACTTCGTGGACCATCAGCTCCCAAGAATTGATTGGGTTCAAGGTCATACCAATCCTGGCTGCCCAACTTTAAAACTTCGCAACCAAGGGAGTCCCATGGGAATCTCAAAAACGGGCGGTAAAACTCACCATAGTTGGGCAGTGTGGGGATCCCAGTCAAACAAAAACACACCTCTCAACAAAAAGATGGAATTTGGAAGACCCTAAGAACCAAGTACAAATAGGATTGACGAGACCATGTCTAAAGCTACAAATATGCTTCCAAAACAAAAGCATGCGAAACCCTTGGGACCATAGCAAGCTCAAAGCCACAACACCAGAGAACAAAAGACCAAACGAAAACTCCGAGTTTGCGACTACACCTGTCTCCCCCAAGTACGAAGTCGATCTAGGAATGAAGGGCCGTGGGCTTAAACACCAACTCATTTCTTGAGTGGACGGGCCAAGAAAGTCCAACAACTTTTTTCTTCTTGCTATCAACATGTTTCAAACCCAAAAAGCTTAGAAGTGGGCTTGAATGCCCATAAAAGGGCCGTCTTAGGTGGACACCTTGGTGATGTTGACCCAGGATTAATAAACCCGTCCCATTATTAGGGGGGTGCTCCCTCCAAAAGTGATCAATCCCCACTAAAAGGAATTGGACACCCCCCTATCAATAAACCAGGGGTTCTACTTAGATCCGGGGTTACCATGAACGCCAAGGCGCAGGAGTCAGCAAGGAGACGAGGAGCACCAGGACCAACTCACTTCGGTACATGGCGACTGAACACGGATTTCTCTGCCGAGCAGCCTGGTAACGAGGATTTCCGGTACCTTTGAGCTGACACGGCTGCGCGCCAAGCAGGCGGTAAACACTGACCCGGGCAACAGGTTCAGCCTGAGGGAAAAGGGCGTCTTGGTTTTTTGGACCCGCAAAATGACACCCAAAATGGGTGTAGCCTCAACAAAAACACAGCTCAGCCTGGGTGAGGGTGTCGCTTTTTGCCGGGGACCCGCAATATACGAGCTTTGAGAAACAACAAAAAACAGAGTACCCCCCAAAACAGACACCCCTATAAATAGGACGCTTTTGTTCAGCAAGTAAAGGTGTACTTCCCACTGCTTGGAGGAAACAGGGATAGTTTCACTCTTGAGGGCTTTGTGTTGAGGGAAATGCGTGGCCAAATGAAACATCGGAAACGTTATGAGTGGATAGAATTGACGTGGTTGCTTCAATCCATTCTCAAAAGATGGTCAAACACAAGTGGAAGAAGTTTACAAACCTACAGGGAAAAGCATGAATATTTTCAGTGATACTATCTATTTCCTTTAAAACCACCAGGGGAAGTACAACATCTTCTGAACTGAATTTGTGATAGCTTCCCTTTAACTCCAACAGGGGGGAACAAAACAAATTCTTAAAGAACTGGAAGTAACCTGTCTATCCGCAAGCCTTCCTGCCAGAGAAGGTCCAGCTCAAATTAGAGCCTTGGGTTGGACTGGGATAAAAGCGAGCTCATGTTGGGTTGAGACCCATTCCCCTTCCAAACCTCGGTTGCTTTCTGCTCCCCTGCTAAAAGTGACCAACTTGTAGTGGTTTAATACGGAAAACCCATGAGTTGGCAAAAAGGTAAAGTCCTAACATCCTTTGGCAAAATGCACCAAAGAAACGCTTCCGCTTGGTCATGCAAGGGGAGATTTTTTTGACCCTGCCGATTGCCAGGTGTTGAAGGCAACCTCCAGCCATGCCATGAGGAGCAGGCTGCGCTCCCTTCGTTTGGTTGGCTCGATGGGCTGTAGAAGCCATAGGTGTCCTTTTCTCGGAGGTTGTGACACAACATGGTCAAAGGTCAAGGGCCATGTAAGCCCTAACGGGCACCTGCGGCAGCTGCAGCGGAGAATCCCTTTGCGTGGTCTTTAACTTTAAGGGAACGCGACCCCTCTGAGCTGCCCTTTTTTCATGGCCACTAGACGTTTAGGTCTTGATGTTTAGGCTTCTATTTTTGCGGCTCAAACAGAAGCTATCCCCAAAACCTTGGTGGAACATATAGCCACTCTGGACCCACTATATGATGGGTACATATCACGTTCTCCTCTGAGGGGAATAGTTTGGGGGTAGCGGAAGCAGTCTTCGAGATAGGGGGTTCGGATTGAAAAACAGTTTCCAAAAGAATGGCGCTTCAGCAATTGAGTTGGGTCTGTTTTGTTTTAGGGGTCTGGGTTTGAAAGGGAGGCCGAAACGAAAGCCGACGTCTTGTTTGAAGGACAAGCACAGGCGATGGCCGAACTGAGGATGGGGCGCCTCTTTAGGCTTGGGTGCCTGCGCCGAGACATGAATCCCAGCAGAACGGTTGCGAAGGTATGGGAGTTGGATACTACTCTCTTCTTTTTTCATATACTGCCTTACAAGTTGGGGACACCATGGGCTTGTTTGTCTGTTGGGCCCAGGGGTCTGTGGGGGACTATTGGGAACTATTTACAGAAACAGTGGAAACCATCCAGAACTATTTTCAAAAAGAGCTGAGAAGTATAGACAGTATAGAGGAGCCAAGCAAGACAAACCGATTCACAGCTTGGACACCGCAACAAGGTCACCAGGATTGTTCACAGAAGAAAGGCTGACAAGTGGAAAATGTGTTTGTGTGTGTATCTGAGTCAGTGTGTGTGTGTGTTACTCGCAAAGCGCAACCCCTGCATCTGTTCCTCATGAGACCTGATTTACGATTGGCAAGCCAACTTAGCCTTCAACAGCCTGCCTAGAAGCATTCAGCGGCTTGCAAGATTCCAGGAAACACACGTTAACGTCCGTCAAGAGTCATGGTCATAGAGTCAGTCATTGACACTTACATAGTCATAAGATGTCACAAGTCATACACTCGTACGGTCCGTGTACCTAACCAAAAGCCAAAACAAATGCTCAATCCGCAATCCCCAAACATCTGCGCCAGCTGAAGCAGGAGCTGCAGAATGTTTTCGCCACTCAGCGCGAAAGTTGCTTGGCGACCCCGAGAGATTCCATCTGGCCACGCACAAGATGGCAAGCCCCCACCCCAAACTAAAGGCGATGGCACTGTTGCACAGTGCTTCACTGGCATATTTGCAAAAAAGCCTGCACCTTATTTCTTGGCCCTTGCCCGTTTCGGCTTAGACCCCTCTGCTGCCTCTGCCTTGGGAGCTGCCCGCTTTGCGGGCTTTGACTGTGATCCGCTGGCACTCTCAGTGGGGCCATGGATTGCCTTCTGCGCCCTTAGCTGCGAAGTTTGGCTGGCGCCCCCCTTGTGAAAGCTCACTTGTGAAAGCTCACTAACACAACAGTTACAGTTGACAATACAGCACACAGCAACAAAGTAACACAACATGAAAGCAAGCTATTGTAAGATGTGCACCGTTGAGGGGATTGCTAGCATCATTACTCACTCCCTCTTCCAAAAGTAGAAAAGGAGAGGTGAAATGCGATGGTATGCGCAACACCCAGAAATCTGTCAAAGAGATAATGATCGTGCGTAATAGTGTGTGTAACTGCGTGCTGCAAGCTGCAACGCGAAGTGTGGAACAATCAGAAAGAACCTTGATCCCCGTTCCAGAATCCAACCCGGAACAAACCGTTGCTGCAAGGCAACCGCTGGAGCCAAATGCACGCTGAAGATCTTCTGTTTGGCCATGGTCTTGACTGAGCTGCTTAGCCAGCACACAGCACACAATGAAACAAGTAACCTTTGATTGGTTGGCCATGCATCCCCAACAATAAGCGCTCTCCAGGCTACAGGGGCAAACCAAATTCCCCAAAATTTACAAACAACTTTATGATCTAGTGGCACGTGGCAACGTTGCGAATTCATCAGTCACGATCCGTGTGATGGGTCAAGGTCACGAGTGAAGATCCGTGTGCTTCAGTTAAAACCCGTACGAAATGCCTGAGCCCCCGCCATGCAGAAAGAAGGCAAGAGTCCCACTCATCATCTCTGCAAACTTTGTCTTCAACATGCCAGGGAAGTCCTCCTTGCTGGTCCCGACCGACTTCGCCAAGAAAGCGCACACCTTTCGGCCAGCATCAAGCGCGTTGTCCTTCTTCGAGCTGTTGAGCACGCAGTCCATGCCCATCATGCAAGTCACAATCTGCCTGCACGTTGACGCCAAATCCTGCGGAAACAAACACATGTGTGCAACTTACAGGAGTCCATGAGAAACTTCCCTCAAAATTTGTTGGTCATCAGTCATCTGTTTTTTTGGCCACGGGCCATGGGCAAAAAAAAAGAATCCACGCAATCCGCAATCCCCTTGCTTTGTTGTCTGGTCTGATCCATGCCAGTCCCCAAGTGGTCAGCAAGTGAAGCTTTCCGCCCACAAACAAACCCGGGTCACGGTCACGGTTAAAACAACCTGTGTCTGAGTCAATTAAACGGCCAACTAACAAACATCATCTTCCCCTGAATCCCCCTTGGTCGGCCCATTCCTCCCCCAAAAAACCTGCTACTTCCCGCCTGCATTCTGGCCAGCATGGAATGGAACAAGTTCATGGAGTCGGAAATGCCCTCGCCGTCCAAATCCTTCTCGCCAGAAGGCCGCGAGGCAATCATCAGCTTGATCTGCGGGATGGCCTCAGAAAATTGGTTCTGGTACTTGAGCATCTGCTGAATGTCAGCGTTCACAGCATCGCTGCTGGCAAAGAACTCCTCGCAACCTTTGACGTCCCAATTCTCGGCTGCGTCCCTCACACACCTGACAAGAATCAGGAACACTACTGCGAAACTGCAAGCAACACAACTATCTCCAAGAACACACCATTGAACAGTTTGAACAAGCGGGGCAGCTAGGGCGGCTGGGAAGTGAGTGCAGCAACATCGCAATTGACTTTTCAACGCTTTACTTTTCTAACTAAGCTCAGTTGTGACACCAACGACCTATAGGCTACCACGACAGCTCTCTGACTTGGTGTGGAGAAGGGCAAAAAACAAGGACTACTATTGGGCTGGGTTGCAGACACAAATGTCTAGACGGGTGACCCAACTAAAAATGGAACTGATTGCTGCCGGTACACAGGTACGTATCCAACAGCTTGCCACACTTCTCAGTGTCGCTGTCCAGCTTGTCAACCATCTGCTTGCACACCTCCGCAACTTTGACCATGTAAGCTTTGAGTGTCTCAATGGATGTGGGCAGGAGGCCCTCAAGAAGGTCAGGCTGGATGACCCCAACTTTGTGGTAGTTGCAAACGTGAGGCGCCAACGCTCCCAGGCTGCCAGCAGGAGACACATCTGCAGCCTGCCAGCACTTGACCTCCTTGTGACAAGCAAGCACGATCATGCACTCCCGAAGCTTGCCTGGTACCACTGCAAACTCCTTGAGCAGCTGCATGCCAGCCTCCTCCCCCTGGTTGGCCACAACCTCCAAAACAGCCTGGGTGCCCGCTTCAATCACCAGAGGCTTAAGCCGATCTGCGGCAACTCCGCAAGACACCGGCCATGTTGTTGCGGACTCTTCGCCCAACTGCACCATGGCTGCCTTGGCCAGGGCCTGCCAAGCAACAAGTTGGGCAATCAGAGGGCTGCTGCCTTCTGAAGACGAGGAGTCCTGGAGAGCAGTCAAGGCCTCCACAACCTTCTCCAACGCAATGTTGGCCTGGTGGTCCTGGTTGAAGATATGGATGTTCAGCAAGCCTGAGCGAGCGATGAAAGTGGGCAAGGCAATGAAAACCAGGTGGCCAAACCATTCACTCTTGCCACTCTCCTACTTACAAATCTGTACAACTTTGCGGGCAACCTTCGGCGAGCGCCTACA